AGGCTCCCTGCCGAGCAGGGAGCCTGATGCGGGACTCGATCCAGGGACTCCAGGATCATGACCTGAGCCGAAGGCAGTCACTTAACCAACTGAGCCACCCAGGCGCCCCATAGTTTTCATCATTTTTAAGTGTATACTTCTGTGGCATGAAGCACATTCACGTGATTGTATAACCATCACCACTATCCATCTCCAGAACTCTTTTCATCTTTCCAAACTGAAACTCCATACCCATTAAACACTAACTCCTCCTTTGCCCCTGTCCCCAGCCCCTGGCAACCACAATTCTCTTTCCTGTCTCTAGGTACCTCATATAAATGGAATCATAGAGTATTTATCCTTTTGTGACTCACTTATTTCACTGAGCACAACGTCTTCAAGGTTTCTCCTTATTGTAGCATGTGTCAGAATTTCCTTCCTTTTTATGGCTGAATTATATTCCACTGTATGTACACACCGCATTTTATTTATCCACTCATCCATCAGTAGACACTTGGGTTGTTTCCACTCTTTGGCTGTTGATTCTATTACTGATCGTCTTTTTACCTGAGGTAGTGGATGCCTTTGACTGAAAAGGGGAGTGTCACCCACACTGAGTCGGGGGAAGGAAAACGGGAAAAAGAGAAAGGACAAGCCACAGACAAACTGTTTGTATTCAGAATTTGTAAAAATTCCTACGAATCTGTAAGGAAAAGATGCACAGTAGAAAACAGGCAAAAACTTGAGCAGACACTTCACAACAGAGAAAATCCAAATGACCAATAAATGAAACAGTGCTCCAGGAAAGAATGTCCTGGAGATGCAAGTTTCAGCTACAATGAGATACAATTATGCACCCACCAGAATGGCTAAAGTCTGTCTTTTAGCAAAAAAGAGCAACAAGAACTCATCCCACAGCTGATGGGAATGAAAAGTGGTACAACCCTTTGGAAAATAGTTGACCATTCTTTTGTAAAGTCAAAAATAAACATACCCCAGGACCCAGCAGTTTCTTCCCTGGATATATTCTCTAGAAAAACACATACACATGTGCACCAGGGTATAAGTGTTCACAACAGCATTGTTCATAACAGCCCCAAACTAGAAAAACCCCCAAAAGCCAACTGCAATGAAATGGGCAAATAAATTGTGACATATTCATTTGATGGAATACAGGGCCATAGCCACCCATGTTATGGATGAAACCCACGAACATGATGTTTAGTGAAAAAAGCCAAGTTCAAAAGATTCCATATGATGGCTTCCAATGTGTCAAGTTTAAATTAGGCAAGAAATACACTATATTTTTAGGGAAGCACGTAGAGATGGTAAATATATCACACAAAGCAAGAATTGACTGGCACAGGGTCAACATGGAGGGTTCTGGGTGGGTAGGAGTGTGTGGGGCAAGAGATTTCTGGAGTGAGGGTACCGTCCTATCTTCTGACTTCGGTGGTGGCTACTTCAGAGTTAAAAAAAAATTATTTCCAAATTATTACAAATTTACAGGAAGATGCAAAAAGAGTACAGAAGGTCCTGAAGACTCTTTACCAAGTTTCTTCTAATAGTTATGACTTAAATAATTATAGCACAAATTGATGTTGGCACAATGTATGTATATAGTTCTGCAGCATTTTATCACATAGTTTCCAGTATCCACCTCCGCCAACACCATCCAGAACTGATCTGTCACCACAAAGATCTCCCTTGTTCTGTCTCTTCCTAGTCACCACCCACATCCTGTCCCCCCCATCAGTCCCCGGCAACCACGAATCTATTTTCCTCCTCTACAATGTCATCATTTTGAGAGCGTTACATAGATGGAATTGTACAATATATGATTTTTTTGAGATTGGCTTTTTTCAATCAGCATAATGCTCTTGGGATCCACCCACATTGGTGTTCTTATTAGTGGTTTGTTCCTTTTTGTTGCTCAGTAGTATTTCACTTTATGGCTCTATCACTGCTTGGTCAGCCAGTCACCTGCTCAAGGACATCTTGGTTGTGTCCAATTTTTCGCCATTGCGGAGAAGGCTGCCATATACATTTGTGTACAGGCTTTTGTGAGGACATGTTTTCCCCTTCTCTGAGATAATGCTCAGAAGTGCAATCGCTGGCTTGTATGCTGATTGCGTGTTTGGTTTTATAAGGAACTACCAAAGTGTTTTCCAAAGTGGCTGTGCCATTTTACATGCCCACAGCAACGTGGGCATCCAGTTTCTCTGCATCTTTGCCAGCATTTGGTATTGCCGTTATTTTGAATTTGAGCTGTTTTTGATGGGGCGTGTAGTGATAGGTCATGGTCCTAGTCTGCATTCCCTCAGTGGCTGGTGATGTTGAACATCACTGAAGCAGGGCAGCGTTCTTTCTTCTGACTTGGGTCGTGGTTACTTTAGAATGGCATATATCCTGGACACACAGCTCTGTGATGGCTTCCTATTTCACAAAGTAATAATTAAGAAGAAAGGAAGAGCATGGAATTTAATATTTTGAGGTATCAGTCCCCTACATCCATTTTTAAAATAGGGCAACCACGAATCAGGCATGGAAGCAGCCTGGCTAGTGGCACATAGGTTAGGGAGTCAGGAGTGCTTGGGTGTGAACACGGTGCTATTTTCACTCGGCTATCGCACCTTCTGCGTGAAATAGGCTCCCCAAAAAACAAACCTCTTTCCAAAGGGGACTGACTTGGAGTAGTTCAAACACAGAAAAAAACCATCCGTGACGCATAGGCATGGCATAGGAGTTTCATGTGCCACAAAGGGGATTGTTCATATCAGAATAATTTGAGCAAAAATGAAAAACCCGGCTGCTCGTTTCCGGGAAGTTGGGAAGGTCTTTGAAGAAGCGGCAATGTAAGAGTCCTTTAAAAGGCTCTCCCAGGGGCGCCTGGATGGCTCAGTTGGTTGGGCGTCTGCCTTTGGCTCGAGTCGTGATCCCGGGAGTCCTGAGATTGAGCCCCGCATCGGGCTCCCTGCTCAGCGGCGAGTCTGCTTCTCCCTCTTCCTCTGCCCCTCCCCCACTCGTGCTCTCGCTCTATCTCAAATAAATAAATAAAATCTATAAATAAATAAATAAATAAATAAATGGCTATTCCAGGTGCAACAGAAGGGAGGGATGGGGCAGGAAGGTGTTACTTGTCATTATAAGCACTTCAGTACTATGTCTTACTTTGTTTAGAAAAGAAAAAGACAGAAAAGAAAGAAAACATTTGGCCTAGTATCCCATACTTCTTTTCTTTTTTTTTTTTAAAGATTTTATTTATTTATTTGAGAGAGAGAGAATGAGAGAGAGAGCACATGAGAGGGGGGAGGGTCAGAGGGAGAAGCAGACCCCCTGCCGAGCAGGGAGCCTGATGCGGGACTCGATCCCGGGACTCCAGGATCATGACCTGAGCCGAAGGCAGTCGCTTAACCAAGTGAGCCACCCAGGCGCCCTCCCATACTTATTTTCTAGAGCTGCCATCAGCTGCCATCCCAGAGTACCACTGGCCGTACAGACTGGGTGGGTCAAACGACAGAAACGTATTGTCTCAGAGTTCCGGAAGCTAGAAATCCAAGATCAAAAAAAGTAAAATTCCTGTTAGAAAGCTGATGGAGCAAAAGAAAAGGAAAGAAAGGTTTCTGGAGTTAGTTTCTTAGTTGTCAGGAAATTCAGACATTCAGGTATGTTAGCTCTTCATCCCAGTTTCTTGGAATTTGCAGAGTGTACGGCAAATGGTCGTTCTTGCTCTTGCACGTTATAACATCTTTCTCTCAACCTCTTCACCTGCCTACTAGCTTGGACGTAGATGCTATTTATTGAAACGAAACAGCACTGTTATAAGCACTTTACGTGTGCTAACCCTTTGAACTAAAAGAAACCCCAATGAAATAGGAGCCAACATTCCCATTTTACAGAGGAGGAGACAAGGCGTAAAGAAGGTGACTTACTCCTCGTTTCAGAGCTAATTACCTGCAAGCTAAGCTGTGAACACAGGTGGTCTCTTTCCAGAGCCTCTGTTCCCAGGCACTCAGCTGCAGTATTTCTTAGAAAATTAATACCACAGCAGTTATAACAAGGTTTCACCGAAACGTCAGCAAGATACTTTTTGCAGCTTCTTGGCATATGGTATGAATCTTTTTTTCCAGCTTTATTGAGATATAATTGGCATATGATGCTGTTTAAGCTTAAGGTGTGCAGCGTGATTTGATATACATATATATTGTGAAGTGATTCCCACAGTAAGGTTAGTTAACACGTCCGTCAGTTCACATAGTTCCCATTTTATTTCTTGTGGTAAAAACATTTAAGCTCTGCTCTTGGCAACCTTCAAGTATGCAGTTCGGTATCGTTCACTGTGGTCACCATGCTGTACATTACATCCCTAGAACTTACTCATCTAGTAACTGGAAGTTCGTATCCTTTGACCAACGTCTCCCCATTTCCTCTACCCCCATATCCCTGGCACCAACAATGAACTTTCTGTTTCTGTGAATTCAATTGTTAAAAATTCCACATGTAAGTGAGATCGTGCAGTATTTGTCTTTCTTGTATGAGTGTTGTTTATCCTTTCTTCCCCTTTTAATATCCCTGTTCTTCCTTTGACTTATTAGTTTGCGAGACAGACATAGTTGGGAACCACAGAGTTAAAAATTACAATGTTGGTCTAGAAATTGTGTAAACCAGTGACGTTAGCCAGTTGTTGGCATTTTTCTGTTGCTAGATTGATGCATGGCCCAAAAGATAAAATTTCCTTGACTAGATACACAATTTTCTTAAAATTTTTTTTAAAGATTTTATTTATTTGAGAGAGAGAGAGAGAGAGAGCGCGAGAGCGAGCATGAATTGGGGGCAGAGGCGGAGGGAGAGGGAGAAGCAGGCTGCCCGCTGAGTAAGGAGCCCGATGCGGGGCTCGATCCCAGGACCCTGAGATCATGACCTGAGCCGAAGGCAGCCGCTTAACCGACTGAGGCACCCAGGCCCCTGTCTTTTTAAAAAATTTTTTAAATTTTTAAAATTTATTTTTATTTTGTTTTAAGTAGGCTCCACACCCAGCTTGGAACCCAACGCAGGGCTTGAACTCACAGCCGTGAGATCAAGACCTGAGCTGAGATCAAGAGTCGGAGGCTTAACTGACTGAGCCACCCAGACGCCCCAAGAATACACAATTTTCAACAATGCTGTAGTATTTCACTTGATCTGAGGCCAGGCCAGCTCTGGAGACACACAGTAACGTGAGCACAGAGTCGTCAATATGATTTGCTTCAATCGTTGAATTCTGACATAATCCTGAATTTTGAAAAAAAATTGCTGCCTCCAGTTTTATCTTTGGAAAGTGAGATTTTTTTTTGCAGGTCATGGCCAGACTTTGGTAGTGTTGAGTCAAGATGTATTGAAAGTTAAACCGAGAACGCCTTCTGGAGATGGAGACTGTAAGGTCTGGGACTCGATCCTTCCCCACTTACAAGCCAGTAAGCGAGCTTATTGCTGTTTCGAGAGTGCTGACAGTACACACAGAGTGCTGGGGCTGAGATGGAACACTTTCTATTCGTGGCAGAGCAAGCAGCTCGAGCATTAGCACATTTGCTTCGGTTCTCCTTGCCTTTAAGTCCTGGGGTCAGTGTGGTATGGCCCAGATGAACGCTCTCCATGCAGTGGGTTTCAGATGCACCTGAGAAACACAGAGCTTGGGGGACTCACCACTTTTATTATTTTTTTAAAGATTTTATTTATTTATTTGAGAGAGAGAGTGTGCGAGCGGGCAGGGGCAGGAGCATAAGGAGAAGGAGGGGGAGAACCTCAAGCAGACTTCCCGCTGAGTGCGGAGCGGGACCCGGTGCTCGATCCCACGACCCTGAGATCATGACCTGACCCAGAATCAAGAGTTGGATGCTTAACCAACTGAGCCACTCAGGCACCCACCCCTCCCCCCTTTAAAATATTTTATTTATGAACCTGCCCCTTTTAGAGCAAGCAGCAAGCAAGCCTGCTCCTTGTCCCCAGGGAGACATGACCTCATCTCTCAGGGTTACTAGCTGAATAGACAATTCTGCCCCAGAGGAAGATCAGACAGTGGGGAAAAAACTTTCGGTAAACGCTGGACGTGTGCAAAGCAACTGTTCGTGGAGACTGGAAAAGCCAGGAGGAAACCCCTCTGGCAATCTGGGTGAATGGGAGGTGGCATTATGCAGCGTGCCGCAATTTGCAAAACTGTTGTCTGTAATAACTTGGAAGACGGGACATGCTGCTAATAAACTTTTGGATTTGGCTGAAGAAATCACCCGACAGAACGTTGGAAGTGTCAGTTTGTTGGATATGTATCAAATGCATATGATAAGGTAGAGGAAGACACAGATGAGGTCCAAACGCAAACTCATTAACTTGCAAGCAAAATTTAGAGACAATATAAAGGATCCAAGAGTTGCTGGGCTGGAAACTAAAATTGCTTATCTCCCCCAGTGTCCGTAGACAATAAAAGAGTCTCAAAACGAAATGAGGCCTGGGGCCAAGGTCCAAATTAAGTGTGTGACTGTAATGTCATACTCAAGGTTACTGGAAGATTGAAGGCAGCTCCAGCTAGACTCTCTCTCAGTAGACACAAGAGCATTGTCCCACTACTGCCTGACTTAGGGCCCCAAATAGAAAGAGACTTGTCTCAAAAAGAACTGTAAATGTGACTTTTGCCCCCATGAGTAGGCCTGTATCAGAGTGACAGGAAACCCACAAAATTTTAAAAAGAATGTTGCCGGCAGAAGCGTTGCCAGGTTAGTCTAAATGGGACAGAGACATTCAAAAGGGCTCCCAACTCTCCGCAGGTAGGCGGCAGACTGAGAAAGCTACTCAGCTGCAAGATGGGCCATTTCTGATGGAAAAGAGAAGTTGTTTCAAATGGCCAAGCCAAGACCCCAGGGTGTAGAGCTAAGAGCCTCCGAGAGAAATGGACTGGATGCTTCTATACCCAGGGAGCAGCAATGGACCCGTCAAGAAACATTCCCTCCTTCTGGTGCCTGCATTTCAGAATTGCCATGCAACAGTGACTTCTATGCCTCTCCCAATTTCCCCTCTTGATTAGGAGTATCTACTGTGGTTATCTTGCTTTACTAATATTTTGGGTGCATCTGGGGGCAGAAAATTTGCCTTTTTAATTGATGTAGTTATCCAGACTGAGAGAAGCTGCACCTGAGGATAGGTACGCAGGGAGCCTCGTTTAGACCTGATGCAGATGGTGAGATCTCACACTTTGAGGATGATACCCCAATTGGATGAGACATGTGGAGTTCCTGGGGTGGGGTGAGTGTGTTTTGCATGAGGGAGGAAAATAAATAATGCATTCAGGTGGAAGATGATAGCTCGGGGAAAAAAAAAAAGGGGGCGTATTTTACTGGCTTGCCCATCAAGAAGTGGAGCTTATTGTTCTGCTCTTCAATGTGGATTGGGCTTATCATGGGCTTTGATGTATGGGATGCAGCAGAAGTGAGGTCATATGGCTTCCTAGCCTAGGGCCTGGGAGGTATTACAGCTTCAGCTCTTGTCTTTTTGGAATGTTGCCCTATGTGAAAAGCCCAAGTGTGCCTGCTGAAGATTTATGGTCAGCCAAGACTTAAGTGAGGACATTTCATCCCATCTGACCCGAGTAGTGCCACCGAATAACTAGCCACATGAATGACCTTCGCAAAAAACCTGATTGGCTTAGCCTTTGAAATGACAAGCCTACAGAATCATGAATCACAGCAAAATAGTTGTTTTAAGCCACTGCATTCTGGTGTGGTTTGTTATGACCCCAAAGTAATTGATATAAAAGCTCTTGATGCAAATTCACCCTGGGCATAAAATCCTTCCAGAAGAGCCTTGCACTTGGTACAACATGGAAAACCGGAGTTGTGTCTACTAAAAGCTGGGCATATAGAGCCTATTATTCAGCAGCTCTGCTCTCAGGTATACAAAACAGAAATGTGTGTATATGTTCACCAAAAGATATATGAAATAATGTATATTAGCAGCATCTTTGTACTCCCGAACTGGTAACATCCAAGTTCGCGTCAGTGGTAGAATGGATAAATCAGTTGTGATAGATTCACACAACAGAATGCTATCTATATGGAAAGAAAACGAAGAAACTACTTCTTTAAACAAATACATGGATAGATCTCAAACATAATGCTAAGTAAAAAAGCCCAACCCAAAGCACATTGTATGATTACCAGTTTAGAATATTGGAGACCTCTGTGGTGAAAGAGATAGTATGGCTGGACAGGGGCCCATGTAGGGCTTCTGGGGGGCCAGTCACAATCTGTTTCTTGATATGGATGGGGATTACAAATGTGTGTTCATTTTGTGATAACTCATCGAGTTGTAAACTTATGATTTACGTACTTACCTGTATGTATAATTCAATAAAAACAGTTTCTTTTGTTAAAAAAAAAAAAAAAAGGATCTCAGATTGATAAAGGAATTGGAGCTAGGGAGAAATTTTTTTTTTTAAGGGAAAAATTATTTTTTTATGCAAGATCTAGGACTTCTTGATTCATACATTCCAATGTCTCAGGGGAGAACCTGGTTTTGTTTTGTCAAATATTCTCTCTCTGACAGTTCTGATCACCCTTTAATAAGTGTTTTCTTTCTAAATCTAAATCCTGCTTCAAGTACGACTAACATCCTTTATATAAAATTTGACCTAGAGTAATCAATGGCAGTACACATCTTGTAAGGTTACTGGTCTATAAAGATGAAGCAAGAATCTTTGGCTTTTTTGGGGGGGTGAAGGAGAGGAGGACTTGAGCCACCTATAAGGGGGAAAAGATCAGGCTGGCCTCTGATTGTTCTATATCCTCTATTTATAAAATTTATATATGTTATAAATTTCAAGAGAAAACATGTTTTCCATGGATGATGTATAAAATTGTCTTGCGACCAGTACAGAAATACTGCAAGGAAGGAGCAAAGATGAGGTCCAGAAACAGGCTGGGGCCTGATTACGAAACACTGGGGATATGCAGGTTTTGCAATTTATTTTTATGCAATAATAAACAACAACAACAACAATAATCATTCTGTGTTTTATAAAGAAAATGAGATATCTGTGTTTAAAATGGCACAGTAGGAGAGTTTTTCTCCAGTCTCTTCTCTAAAAATATCTGAAAATAAAAATAAACAGAGAAGAAAACTCCATATTTGAATAGACGAGGAGACAGTTGTAATGCCGGAGCACAAGACATGAGGTAGGGTGGCCAGATTCAGGGAAGGTGAAACACAGGCTGGGGCATCAAGAGACAGGACGCCTGGAGTGCAAAGCTCCCAGAATGTTTGCAGGGCGAAACCAACCATGGCTAATTTGGAACAAAGGGAAACACACAGACCTGCTGTATTTGCCAGAAGCAGTTTACCCATAAAGAGGTGTAGAGAGACTCTGTTATGGGTAGCACAGAAGTTACCAGTCTGGATTGCCTGAGGATAAGTAGACACCGAAAAACCCGAACCCAAACAAAAACCAAACAACAACAAAACAGCAAACAAGCAAAACACCTTGCTAGCACAAAATCTGGTGTCAAAGGAACCTAACTATAAACCAGGTACTCTAGAAATTTCATCCCTCTTTTATGAAATTTCTGCAATTAGTTGGTGTAAAAAGAACTGATTATCCAACAATGACTAATACCAAGCATCAGTAATTTATAATTGGCAACCTATGACAAATTGTAACAAATTATAATTGTAATTATACAAGGAACCTGGAAGAAGAATAAAGAAAGAGGGAAAACAAATGGCAGACAAAAAAAAAATACTCATCAGAAAAGGATTACCTCAGAACAGTTGAAAATTGTGGCCAAACATGAGCACCATTATACAACTAAAAATCACAGCGAAGTAATGCTCCATTTGATGGTGTCTATAAAACAAGAGCTCAGAGAAGAAATATACAAAATTCGGGAAAAATATAGCAGGGCAACAGAAGGAGATGAAACATAAACTAACAGACTTCGGAGAAGAGGAAAATAAATTTTTACTATTATAGAAATAAAAGCTTCATTACAGTAGCTCCAAGTAGCATATGGATAACACTGAGAAAAGCAAACAAAATGTAATACAAATGAGCATACTTAAGAAGCCTTAGAAAGAAATTGAGAGCAATGGAAGACAAAGGATAGTTAACACAATGCGTAAGTGATTGTGTGAAAAAGAGAACTGAAATCAGGGGACTGGAGAAATATTTAAAGGAATGTTTAAGAAACATTTCCAGGAGTAAAAGAGGATTTGAATGTTCAGGAGTCACAGAAAAGAAACAAAACATTCCAGATATTTATTTATTTAGTAGTAGTAGAAGACTTGAATCTGGACCCATTTATCTAAGAAAAATTTGACATGGACTAATCAACAGCAGTACATACCCTGGTAGGGTTACTGTTCCACAAAGATGAAGCAAGATTCTTTGGCATGTTTTGGGGGAGGGAGGGTAGGACTTACGCCACCTGTAAGGAGGAAAAGATCAGACTGGCCTCTGTTCTACAGAACCTTCAGTGTTAGAAGACAATGGAGCTTTGTTCACAAAAGCCCTAGAGAAAGAAAAGTGTGACTCAAGCATTTTTTTTTTTAAATATACAAGCAACATACAAATCTTTTGAATAATCAAGAAGGTAGGAACTTTAACTTTAATGAGCATTTCTCTAAGAAAGTACTCTAGAACAAACTTCAGCCCAGTGGAAGCTCAATGGAAAAATAACAGCATGAACGTGAATCCTACTCAGAGAATTATGACTAGTACAGGTCTCGTGTAATGATTGAGGAGTGAAAAATGCAAACTATAAACTCTGACTATGTAAAAATGATGTAACTATCGAAATCTGGGATGGTGAGGTAGTAAGAGGGTAGGAGGTGATCTCAGTACTGGAATTGCAACGCTTGATGTTAAAGGTACAAGAAATCATTGAAATCTGGCATGTCAACACACGTAAAATATATTTAAAGGATAAGGATAAACACTAAGAGAAATGTTCAATTAACAAAAATAAGGCAATGGTGGGGATGTGGAAGAAAAAAAAAGTCTATTAATTTTATAGTTGCTCATAATGGGAGTAATTGATACTGTCTAAAAACAAATGATTAAGTAAACTGTATGGAATTATAGCTATAAAGAATTCTGTAACAATAATCGCCTCTAGGATTAAGAAATGGGTGCTGGGAAGACAGCAGAAGGAGGCATTTTTTACTCTACACTCTTACATCTTTTGAATTTTATGCTATGTTCATTGCTTAGCTACTATAAAAAGAAAGAATAGAAAAATACAAAATAATGAAAAAAGCAAAATTATAGTTATGGATGTGCCCATTAGAACAAAAACATGAAGTTTTCCAACTATTAAGAAAACACATATACTAAAACTAAAGAAATTGCAGCCCATAGAATGAGAGTATTTTTAAAGGCAATGAAAACATTAGTAATATAACAAAATAGCTGGACAGAACCAAGACCACACATATGGCTCATATTCATAAATGTTGGTGGGTTAGTCTCACCTAATAACAACAATAAAAAAGACTGATTGAATGGCTATGCAAAATACGACTACCTACTGTCTGAAGGAAACTTATCTAAAACAAAGTGAAGCAGAAAATTGGGAATATAAAGATGGACAATTGCATCAACCTAATACCAATTGATAAGAGACTACGTCTGTGTAATAAAAAGCATAAGCTACTATTTGTATCAAAAGGTAAGAAAACAATATATATAAATATATATATGTAAATAATATAAATATGTATTGTTATATATAAAATATAAATACTTTATATGCATAGTTACCTGCTTTACATTTTGGGTTTTTGTACCAAATGCATATATTACCCATTGTAAAGAACAAGCAAATAACTTATTTTATTTAAAATTAAAAAAAAAATTTATTTATTTATTTGGGGGGGAGGGGCAGAGGGAGAGGTGGAGAGAGAATCTCAAGCAGATTCCTCACTGAGTGCAGCACCCAATGTGGGGCTCAGTGTGGGGCTCGATCCCACAACCCTGAGATCATGACCTGGGCCGAAACCAAGAGTTGGCTGCTTAACTGACTGAGCCCCCCAGGTGCTCCTGCAAATAACTTATTTTAAAAAGAAAATAATGTTGGTAGCAATGGGGACTATGGATTTGAGGATATAGCTGAAGCTTGAGATAGGAAGACCAGCTATACCTAGTTGGACCAGCTTAAATTTGAAAGGATTAAGGTAGAGGATGGGGCAGTAGTAAGAATTGGACCTTGCCCTAATATACTGTAAGATGTAACTTAAAAAAAAAATATATATATATATGGGGGCGCCTGGGTGGCTCAGTTGTTAAGCGTCTGCCTTTGGCTCAGGTCATGATCCCAGGGTCCTGGGATCGAGCCCCGAATCGGGCTCCCTGCTCGGCAGGAAGCCTGCTTCTCCCTCTCCCACTCCCCTTGCTTGTGTTCCCTCTCTCGTTGTGTCTCTCTCTGTCAAATAAATAAATAAAATCTTTAAAAAAAATATGGTGTTGTCTTATTTTAAACCTTATTTTATTTTGTGCTTTTGGTTTAAGGTAAAGGAGAATTTGACAGAAGTCTTAAGAATCAGAAGATGCTTCTAAAAACAATTTTTTTCTGCATTTCCATTATTAGGAAATAAATACTCACAGCAGAAAACTTGAAAAACATGCAGAAAAAGTTAGAGAAGAAAAATTCCTTTAATTCTAATACTGTAGGATAGCCAGGGTTATTATTTTGTGTATGTCCCACCATTATGTTCTCCCCCTTACAAACACATGCATGTTTTTAGAAGGATCATAGTATACACAATTTTATGGCTTAAAAAAAAACCTTTGTTATATTGTATATATTTCTCAATGTTATTATAAAATACTCTTCTACAACATTTTTAATGACTACATATTATTAAAATTCTTTATTGTTAGACATCTGGATTATTTATAATTTTTTTAATTTATATACAACATTGCAATGAATAACAGTGTACATACAAATATACTTAAATCTCTGATTATTTCCTTATTATATGGTTTTGGAAATGGAATTGCTGGGAGAAAGGGTATGCATATTTTAAATTTTGATACCTCCTGCCAAATTCCCTTCCAAAAAGTTTGTCCCACTGTTATAGCTCTAGCAAAATGCTGTGGTTGTGAAAGTAGGAAAATGCCAAGACCTACTTTTCCTATTTGAAAGTTCCCTCACGTAGCATTACCATTCGTTTTCATCTTTGTAAATTTACTTGGGTGACAAAGATGCTTCATTATTGTTTTAGTTTGGATTTCCTCAATCACGAGGGACCCGGGAATTTTTTATATGTTTATTGGTCATTTGCAACTCTTGCTTTGTTAGCTATTCATTCTCTTCAGGCTAATTTGCTTCAATCCATTATATTGTAAAGAAATATATCTAAGTACTGAAGATCAATGAACTCGGCAAGCATCAAAAAAAAAAAAAAAAAGCTAGATTCTCTTTAATTATAATCTCAACTTTGGAAGGGCATAGTGTCCTAAGGAAAACTGCAGAAGCTTGCCGTTCATTCAGATTTTTTTTTCCTAAAGAGATTCTGAAAATAGCAAAGAACAGATGTGATTCCTTTCAGTTTCCATGGACCTAATGGAGACATCCTAAGTCATCTAGGAAAAGGAGAGGGACTAAGGAGGGTGCTGGTCTGCCCTGCACACTGTTTGTATTATGAGTGTGGGGACCAGGTTGTCTGGATAACTAAATCCTGTCACACTGTGAAAGCAAGAACAATTAAATAATGATAGGACAGTGTTTCATACTCCCCCATAATGTATTTGTTGAGTGAATGAAGGCATGAGGACATTGCCCCTTTCAGAGAAGTAAGATTGCTGGCTTTCAGTTTAGTATGAGTAGAATTGCCCAGCCAGACATGACTTTCAGAGAACAATGTCAAAAGCAAGGAGCTTAGCAGTGGCTTATTGAATGGGTTCATGTTCTTACCATCATTTATTCTTATTTTTTTATTATATTATTACATTTTCTTGCAGGTGTTTAACAAATTCTTGATAAAAACAGATTGAATGATAAAGAGTATCATTTTCACTACAATTCTCATAACGGTATATTTGAAATTGCTCATTATTATTCTCATTTTACTGATAAGGAATTATGGCCCTGAGGTGTTAAGAGACCTAGCAGTCAAAGCTCATACAGTTAACATGCAGCAGAACCAGGCTTAGAAACGATGACTTCAAATCCAATGCCCTTATCTCAATACTACAATCGTTATTTCCCCTAGGTCGCTTTCTTGCTCCCTATTAATTATGTTAAACTCAAATTCCTCAGTCTGTGACTGTTCTTCACAATCTGGGCTAACCCTCATGCTCCAGGCTTGACCCTCCCATTACCCTAGTGGATATTACGGTTTCCTCTCCAAAAGCTGCTCTTAACCTTTGAGTAGCCACAGTGCATCTGGGGAGATAGTTTTAGTTCAGCTGTGTGCCTGACTGCTACAAGAATAAGTGAATCCTCCCGACCAGGGGATGGGTTCATGAACAGACGAGTGACCCAACTCCGGCCAAAGAGATACAGAGAGAGTGTTGCTTTTAGGAAAGTTCTCTTTTTCTAAGACAATAAAAGCAAACCCCTCACTTTCTCTTATTGGATGGGAGCAAGGGGGTGCATTGTCTGTCTTTTTTCACTAAGTATAATATTTTTGAAATCCATCCATGTTGTTGTGTGTATCCATAGTTCATTTCTTTCTATTGCTGACTAGTATTCCATTGCACGGATGTGCTATAATTCATTTTTCCATTTTTGTGTGGATGGGCATTTGGGAAGTTTGTAGTTTGAGGCTATTAAGAATAAGGCTATTATGAATATTCTTGTATACATCTTTTTGTGGATATATTTTTTTTGGGAAAATTCACAGGAGTGAGACATTGAGCATTATACTCATTTTTAAGTTCCAGATTATTGGGGTAAGAAAAAGTGGTATAACTACTTAGCTTAGAAACTTCACTAGATTATCTTGAACTCATTTTAGTTTTTTGTTTTAGTTTTTTTTTCTTGGAGAGGAAAATTAATCATTATCAAAATATCAGAGAATGTCATTAATATGTACCTAATATGCACTCTAGGCAACTTACATCATATATTATTGCCTAATGCTGTTATTTACTAGCTGTTTGACCTCGGATGAATTGCTTAACCTCCCTGGTCTTCAGTTTCCTCATTTGGGGTTAAAAATAGCACTTACTTCATAGGGTTTTTGTGAGAAGTAAATAACATATATAAAGTCATCACATTGCCTGGCATATAAAGGCGCTCAAAAATATTAACTATTATAATTGTCATGATGTAGCATCTTATAACAACCCATGAAATAAGAATTCATACCCCATTTTCAGAGGCAATAAGCAACTTGTCCTAGTTACAGAACCGGGAGTGGGATTCAAATTTGAGTCTACTTTGGTACCAGAGCCCGAGAACATTCCGTTACACTATTTCCCCCCGGGGTTACATTTTTCACGAAGTATCTCATTGAAATCTTTACTACAATCTTGTTAGATGACTTCTCTCAATATGAAAAGAACAAGAAACTGTAAAGGAAAGAAAATAATGAACTAGGAAAAAAAAGGGTCTGAGACAAAGTCTCAGAGAAACTTGGAATACAATCTGGTTTATGTTTTTCTTTTTTTTCATATAGTAAACTATAGTTACTCAGAGTACTTTTCAAGCTTTTTAGCTGCCATAAGAGTATTTGGCAAGTAAAGATTGGATTTAGGAGGTTTTTTTGTTTTTGTTTTTGTTTGTTTCTACTTTTCGAACATGTAACCATATATTCCAGTTCTTTTCCTGTTTTTTTCTTTTTTCTCCCTCTTTAGTGTTTTTGTCTCCTATTCTAATCAGGCAAGATTACAGGTGGCACACTCAAATGGGTTTATGGGAAATTTTAATAAAGGGATTATTTATGAAAGTGTGGGCAGAGTTGAGGAGAACCAACAAAGGATACTGAAAGGCTGTGAGGATGGAGAGAGTAGGAAACCAACATGGCCCCTGTATTGAAAGAGGCAAGGGAAGGTTGTGGTTACTAGACTAGGGTGTAAATGGCTCTATCTGAAGGAAGGGACTGCCCAGCAGGAGTTTCGGCCTTTGATGGAGGGACCCAAGGCATTTCTGATAACCTGTTGGGGTAATAGGGCAGGAAAAGAAATACCCTGACCTCTGTGTGTGGAGGTCTGATTGGTGAAGGGGATGGGAATGGTGGGGACACACTCTGAACACCACTATTTTTTTTTTTTAAGATTTTATTTATTTGAGAGAGAGAGCGTGCATGAGCGGGGATAGGGCAGAGGGAAAGGGCGAGAGAGAATCTCAAGCAGACTCCCCACTGAGCTCAAAGCCCGACACAGGGCTCGATCTTGACCAGAGCTGAAATCTAGAGTCAGACCCTTAACCGACTGAGCCACTCAGGTGCCCCTCTGAATGTCACTATTACAATTAGACATTTTCATCCACATCTTACAGACGCGGTAATAGTGGGAACTCTAGTAACTTGCCCAGGGTCCTAGAGCTAGGAAGTGGAAGAGTTGAGATTTAAACCTCGGTTTAGCTCAGTGGTTCTTCATCACCGAGGGAAGGTTTTAGAAAATACTGAAGTCTGTGCCCCATCCTCTGAGATCCTGATATAATTGGTCTGGCTTGGGGCCCAGGCAGCGTATTAAAAGCTCCCCAGGCGATTCTAATGTGGAGTGGGTGTTGGAAAATACTGGTTTGGTTGAACTCCAATATGTTTTCACTGTAATATGAACCGCTATGGGCACAGGGCTAATGACAAAGAAATCACTGAGCGGAGGGAACCCACTGTGTAATGCTAAGCAAACCATCACAGTACAGTGAGGCGAGGTGCTGGAGCCAGTTGAGGAGTGGGCGGGATCCTCAGAGGAGATCAGGCTGGACAGGAGCTGTTACTATGGCCATCCCTAGTGCCCACCATTGCTTCAAGCACTTAATGGTTTTAGCTAATCGAATCCTTATCACCATCCTAGGACTACGTGCTGCTATTATTATTTTTAATCGATTAGTCATCAATTAAATTAACATTTTATTAACCCATCATTATCTCAGTTTTACAGATAAGGACAGTAAAACAAAGAGAGCTTCAATGTCTTGCTCAAGGCCCAGCAGAGGTAGAAGTGGGCTCAAACCCAAGCAGTCTGACCTGAGAGCCCAGGTGAGCTAACACTACGTGAGTTAGCAACAGAGGCTGGGGTCACGGAGAGGAGTGGGAAGACAGAAGGCAGAGGAGCTGGTATTTCAGGCAGAATCAATAGCATGGGGGAAATGGAGGGCTGTTAGACAGCAGAGTGCATTTAGAGGAATCTGTGCTGGTTGGAGCTTGGGGTGCGTGCGGTGGGCATGCACCCCATACCACATTCCCGGGATGGGGCTGCATCGTGCTTGTTATTCTAAAGGCAGTCGGTAGCCACGAGAAAGTGACTTGGTCACACTGGCATTTCAGAGAGAACCAGAGAAAGGATGGGACCAGAGCCCAGCAGGAAATGGAGGCCAGTGAGGGGCCATAGGGAAGGTGGAAGGAGAAACAGGCTTGGGGCTGGGCGTAGAGGGTAGGGAAAGGTTGAAATAATATTGCAGCAAAGATGTGGTTGAATTGAGTTCTTTGTGGTGTCCATCAGACACGCTACAAATTATTTACGTTTATAATAAAGCACTGACATTTGAGAATGAATTCTTTATTTTTTCTTTATTTTTTATTTTTTTAAAAAGATTTTATTTATCAGAGAGCAAGAGAGAGAGAGCACAAGCAGGGGGAACAGCAAACAGAGGGAGAGGGAGAAGCAGGGTCTCTGCTGAGCAGGGAGCCCGATGCGGGACTCGATCCCAGGACCCTGGGATCATGACCTGAGCCGAAGGCAGCCGCTTAACCGACTGAGCCACCCAGGCACCCTGAGAATGAATTCTTTAAATAATTAATACAACCCAGTATACTCCAGCATGGTCTCGTAACTGTGGCACTCTTATT